ATCAAATTGCGATAAATCCGATGGTTTCGCTCCCGCATTTTGCCAATTGTATAAATGTACAATTTATCAACTTGCACAAAGCTTTCGAACGTTCTATGCCGCAGCTAATAAATACGTTTGAAAAATTTGTGCAAGTCGATAAATTGTACATTATACAAATATACATTGCCGGCAAATTTCTTAAGCGTATTGATAGAATGTTTCTGTTGCAACGAGCATATTATAAATCAGGCTAAAATGTGGATCAGAAGTGTCCAAGGAGCATAGGCTTTATAGTGCTAAGGGACACTACCTGTCCCCGCGTTGCCGCTGGCTAGAATTTTCTCTCTCAGAAATGTAGCTTACAATCAGTGTCCGCGAGTGATCCCTTCAAACAACTACAATCTCCTGTCGTAGCGGTCAATCTTTTAGCCCGAAAAACCGAAAATCAATTCCGATGAATCTAGAATCGTATTCTAGCGAAAAGGTTTACTAGACTTTAAATGGAAGGAACCCTCCATGGGTCGAGCAAATTTTGACCTGCGATTGTTCTTCTTCTCGACGCAGGTCAACCCAATCTAAATGCCTCGAGAAACTGAGATACGAGAAGTATTTTGAACTACTCGGAAACAAATTTTTATTTGTATACATAAAATGTACAATATGCGGTACAAATAAGAGCAACAAATTATCAAAACTTACGCTGTCGAGAAGAAAAAATTAATTTAATGCGAGCTCATGTGAACGAGATCTTTTTCCACGATCTTTTTGATGCTGAACGTGATCTCGCTTATAAAGTTGCTACGTCACGTCACAGTTTTGAGAAATTTGTGGTTGATTATTAAGTAAGTTATAAAAAAATTACTTTATTATATTTTGACATTTATCGTAGCTACAATGATGAAAATACATCTTAATCCAAAAGAAATCACGAGACACAGTAGTGTATAAGCTAGTACTACTTTACTCAAGAAAATTATTTATTAAGTGGCTCTTAATAGTTTATTAACTTCAATTTAAAAAATAATAAGCAAATTAAAACATGCATTTTTAAATTCAAGTATTTATTAAATATCAAACAGTAGATAATTTGAAATTTAAAAAATTTACTTTAATGCTATAAAGTGTTTACTAAGATATAAGTTTCGCAGCGAAGATAATTGGATGTCTTATTTGACAAAAACAATGATTTCATTTACTAAAGTATTCTCTATTTCATGAAATCTTTAGTTGAATGTAGAAAATGCCATAAATTAAATTAATTTACTTAATATAATATACAGATTTATTTGAAATATGATATTTTTATTTGAGGGGTTAAGCCACCTTGACCGGATCGAAATCAGTGTCATTATTTTTTTTAGAAATGTAACAAAATATATACAAAATTCAAAAGTAGGTATGTATTTAACATGTCTTTAAGGCTAAAAAAATATTTTTAGGTTTATTTTTTATGTAAACTAGACAACACAAGCGCGCGTCAACGAAAAAGGAGATTCGGTGTCTCGGCTTTATCGCCTCTATTCTCTTTCTCTATATAAAAAAGGCGTATTAAGTTGACAGTCGAGAGTCTTTTTCTCTATACAAATGGCGTGCGCGAAGCGCGCGCTTGTGTTGTCTAGTTTACATAAAAAATAAACCTAAAAATATTTTTTTAACCTTAAAGACATGTTAAATACATACCTACTTTTGAATTTTGTATATATTTTGTCATATTTCTTAAAAAATTCAAGAAAAATAACATTGATTTTGATCCGTTCAAGGTGGCCTAACCCCTTAAATAGAATAAATATTTACTTTAATAAAAAAAAGTAATTTTAAGTAAATCTATTTATAACATCAGTGATTTTTATTGACCGTATCTGGCAATTTTTGTAATACAGAAAATTTATTGCGAAAAATATTACCTTAATTAGCCAGGGTTTGAACCTGGACTTCTCTTCTCTCTAGGCGGGCATCTCAGACAATTCGACCACCGAGGCATATTGTAATCTATTTACTTCGTTAAAAAAAATTTAAACATGATTCTCTTTTGCAATTTTCATTACAAATTCCTCAAAATTGCGACACGATGGAACAATTTGATAAATGAGATCGCATTTGGCCGCGCCTAGGAAACTGCGTTCAGAAAACGCCTTCGTTTTTGTACATTTTCTTGTGTTTAATACGAATTAATACAATTTTACACGTTATAATACGAAAAACAAATGTTAGGAAAATATAAAGAAAGTTTTTGAATATAAAATTGCATATCAGCACTTATTGCAGAAGGCCTTTATACTTTTCGTATAGATATAAAGACATTACGAGAATAAAATATATGTAATGCAATAAATTGTAGCAGGAAATCTTTTAGGCACAATCGCGAAATTATATTCTGGTATCGACGTACGTTTCCAACAGATCGAGCTTAACATGAGCGTTCTTGTAATCGACAAAAATACGTGAAGAAGCGCTCGATCGCGCGCCAGTAGGGCAATATTGGTTTACAAACAACGCCAATCTCGCGGCGCGCGCTCATCCGGGGAATATTTTCCTTCGCATCAAATACGTGTTTTATGCCTTCGATTATTTCCGTCCTCGTGAAATACACGTTTCGGCGTATTTACAAAAAGTAATCCGTCGGAATCCTAGGGAATTTGTATTTCATTGGAGACTTTTTACCACACGCGCACAATGTAACAACTAATTGCAATCCGCGCGTATTCCTATTTGTTAATGTTTGTGATTTTCATAGCATTTCAACCTTGGCTTTTTATATTTGCTGAGAAAGTTGCCGCGTCTTATCGAACGAATTTTACGACCGATACAACGTGAAAAGCACGCATTGGAAAAATAATTTTAGTGCTATTTGCGTTAAAATTGGCAGCGCTATCGCTGGCAAGGGTTTCGTGGCGATTATCGCAGTATACAATTATATGTCCCTGCAACAACTTGTTTGCTTGATTTTACAGTAGAAATCGTATCATATTGAGCGCAATTAAAGTTGTTGACTTTTTGCGACACGTCTAAACATTTAGAATTATTCCTAAGTAGCTCGAATGAAAGGAGAATCAGGGTGAAACCTAATATTAAGTGTTTCGTGCACGAGGCGAATAATTGCTGTAATTTATATTAATAGCGGCAATTTATTTGAAACTCGCGGGAGCACACGAATCTGTTTACCACTAATTTTCATCGTGGCTTTTTGACATTAACAAGCATTTAAAAGTTAATCGGATTGCATCGCGCATTTCGTTTTAGTCGCAATAGCGCGCGTAATACTATTCAAGAGACAGACAGTACGTTAGAAAATGACCGAAATGAATTGGAAAATTTTTCAAGAGTAGATCGTTTCCTGTAAAAATGTAGTTAAAATTTTTATTTGATTCGCCATCCGATGGCAATCGCGATCGGTGATTTCAAATGGATAGAGGAAAGGATT